GGAAGAATAAAAAGATTAACCTGACTAAGACTTTCACTAGCGCATAACCCTTGGAGTGAATAATGAACTTCTAGTTTTCCACTGACCTTGATAGTATTAATACATAAGTTATTAAAATTTAAACCGCTAGATAAGTCTTTTCGTCCCATTACAAATTACACTGTCAAAAATAGTCATTTTCAATATTTGAAATCAAAAGAAATTTGTAGCAAATAAAAATGAAAAGAACATGTTACAGTTTGATGTTTAAAATATTCTACAAGCTTCTTTGTAATTAATTTTGTCATATTTTTCTTTTTTGTAATTTTTTTCGATTTCAGTTGCTTCATTTCACTAGATATACCTGTGTTATGTAGTAACTATAATTATTGAAATTATTATTTTTTCTAATATCCTGTTTTTGTATATCAGTTATATTTTTTCTAAGAAACATTTTTCAAAAACTAAATTTTTCTAACATACATATATGTAGCTATAAAGAAGAATTTTTTGTCTTATAAAAGAAGCATAACTGCTCCTACAATATTTCATCATAGAGAATTCATTTTGAATTATATGCGGCCATAATACAGTAAATAAAGGTTGTGTTTTTAAAAACAGCTTATATAAAATTTTTTTTATACTAGTATACAGAAGCTTTCAGAGAAAATGCGAACATGCTATTTCATAATTAATTTTTACAGTTGCTAGTCTATTTAGTCGGTCCCCCTTCTGATAGAGCCTGCTAATAATTTCATAATTAATGTCAATAGTTGCTAGTCTATTTAGTCGGGGACCCCACTGATTGAGCCTGCTATTATATACATATTTGTTAACGATTGTGTTATACCAAACCCAAAAATATTATTGTATGATTGCATTCTTTTCCCTTATTCTATACGTATACGTACTTGTATAATATTTCCCTCTCTCTACAATTAAAAATCCTTTTAATTATTACGATTTAATTTCTTTTTTAAAAATTAATTAATTTCAGAGTAATTATTTTTAATAATGATCTCTTTTAAACGATAATTTTTAATTTTATATTGAAAGAAACTAAAATAGAAATTGATACAATATCAATCAACTTATAACCTTAATAAAAGAAATTTAAAATCTTCAATACTTAATTTGAAATGTTTAACATTTTGAGAGGGATAAAATTAAATTAAAAAATTGTTACTGAATATTTGGAAAATAAAATTTAATTTGATTTTTTTTTGTCCAATAATCATAAAATAAAAACAATTTATTAACGACTGGAAATAAAAGAGACACTAATTTTTGTTTATTAATTCAACAAAACAGAAAATAAGCGAGAAGAAAAATTTCATTTATTATTGTCAATCTGTAAATTGAATACTCAATGAGACGTAAAAAATTAAATAAATTAAAAAAATTGTCATAAAAGTTACAAAAACAAAAAAAAAAAACAAAATGAAAATTAATATTGTGAAAATCTTGGAAATTTTTTTTTTTTTTTTATAATCAATTTTTTATTACTGACCTTTTAACCTTAAATTCATACTAAAAATTAATTTTGTGTAATTTTTTATTACAATATTGAATAATTTAATCACCTATATACAAAAGACTTACAATGGGCATATTCTATATATGTATGTATATCACAAATTTATATATTGAAATAAACTTAGTTCCGGAGAACAAGGTGCATTTATATAAATGATCTTTTGAAACAGCATTAAAATTTATTTATTTTTTTTAAGCACATTCCAAACTAAATGAGAAATAAAATGCTTTACTATTCTAACCATCTGTTTTTATAATTCTCAAGCCTTAATTATGCCACTTTCTGATTATTTACTAAGCATGTCGACATCATTAGTTTTTGATTTTTGTAAACGCAGAAAAATATTGAGCTATGTTTCTATTTTGAATCAGGTTAGGTAAATTTTACAGTCACAATATTACCGTTGAAATTAACCTTTACCTTAAATCTGCTATCTAAATAAATTAATAGCATCGTTGCAAAAATGGTAAAATTTTTATTTTATTCACCTTATTTTTCGAAACTACAAGCAAAAATCTTAGATGTTTTGACTAATAGTTTTAATACTTCTTGAAATTTTTTCCCGCATAAATAATTTTGGAATGTCTGTATTGTGGTATTAGAATAATTTGAACAAAACATTGATTTTTTTGTAAAACATTAGTTCGAGGTAAATGTGCTTCCTTACGAATCATTTGTTTAATTTGAATTCATTATTATTTTATTATTGTTATCAATTCTTAAACAAAATGTCATTTTTATTGTTTTCCTTTGAAAATTAATAAAAACTTTTAATGATTTTTCTTTATATTTTCCTGTAGTTCGCAGATATTCCTTTAATAATATATATATATAATATTTATTAGACTTGATCATAGAGCAACTATGAGGGGTAGATTTTTGGAAAATGACGATCACTAGCTTTTGAAATTTATATTGCAATTAACATTTCTTTAGTTTCAAACTTGTTTGCAATATACCAGAAATTATTTAAGCCGAACGCTATCTTTCTGAATTTATTCAAACAGAGTTTATTCTCTCTCACCATACCATCGCAGGCTTCTTCTTTACCTATTTTCAAAAATTTCTATCCCTTATTCTGACCTTATCGTGTAAGAAACTCTTTGAATTTTAACGCTTTCAGAATTTTATTGGCAGATGCATCTATCAATTAAAATTCCAAAATCTACTTAGTTTAATGATACAAAAAATTCTAACATAACTAAAACGTACTCTGTTATAGAAATAAATCAATTTTCATTTACGTCACTCTTTAATTTGACATTTTAAAATTAGTTTTTCAAATTAAAAAGAAAACAGAGTATTAAAAATAATGTTCTTTAAGCGCAAATTCTAAAAGTGATCATGATCAAGAATCATAAAATAATGCAATAAACGAAAGCAAAAATGGTAATACCTAAATTTTCCTTAAATCCTTTTGTTGTCAGACAGACATTTAATTTTTATTTTTTTTTTATATTTTATTATTAAATTTCATCTGATAAATCGTTTAAAATCACGACACCTATAAATAATAAACTGTATATAGATGTATGTATAACATCAATTGCAAATCTCATTTAGATTTATTGTTTTTATTTTTCTTTCTTTGTATATATATTTTTTTTCTAATATCCTGGTTATCCTTGATAAAATAAAAATAAGAAAAATTTTTTACTCCTTCTTTTCTTTTTGTTATGAGCTCTTCAGTTTTTTCTTTACTTCTGTTTATTTGTATTGTATATTAAGGTGAATTATTTTGCAAAAGTTTTATATTAAAAAATAAAAATCACTTCTTAGTGTAGGATTTATTGCTCCTGGAAAATTATATTAAAATTTCTAAAGGAAAGCTCTTTAAAAAAATCGAACTGTTTGTATATGATGGCCATCATGATGATGTTTTTTGTTTTATATTATAGAGCTAAGGAATTTCATTAAATTTTATATTTATTCATATTTAATATTAAAACACTTTTGGTGAAGATTCAGAGAATGAAGACAAAGCGAAGGAAGGAGAAATACTCGAATTTACTCGAATTTTATGATAAATTTAAATAAGTTGCCTTCAAAAATTATATTGCATAGCAGATTAATAAATGTATGTATGAATATCTATCCCATTTTAAAAATTCTTTATTTTAAATTTAATTTTTTATTGCTTTAGATTTCAATTTTAACTTAAAAAATTTATCATAGTGTGATTAATAACAAAAATTTAGTAAATTTTTTAATTCTGCCACATACATATATTTATCATTCATTGAAACCATACATGTAATTGTGGACTGCTCTGCTTTCGAGATTGCCAATTTTCGCATTAGTCGTTTAACGGAATGCAAAAACTGGCTATTAACAATTTCACATTTGCAGTAGTTGGTCAATTAACTCTTAAACAGTATTGTCAAATTCTAAATAGTGAAAATCTATTAACAAATTAGGGTTAGAAAATATTAATGCATTTCTAGTCTGTTTTGTTCTATTTTGATTTTGTTCAGCTTATAGACAACACGTATTAATCCCAAGATATGGTTTTTCCAACTAAGACTAAAATTATTTTTTTATGTTTCTAAGTCTGACGAAAATTCCAAACGTAGAATATATTGAAATTTCGAAAATATTTGAAGAAGTTAGGCAGTTTACCGCTTAGTTAAAATTTATTTTCTATGAAATTTTTACTGTTCTCTTTCGTTAAGAAACCTAAACTGTATATAACTTTTGAGTGTATTTTTAAATGGTAATGCTTAAAAACTGTTGTGAAGATTTAATAACAATAATTTCGATTTTCTTTTTAAAGTAAACATTTTAAAAAATTCAAAATTACATTCAATTTTATTTTTTAAGGTCTCAAGATTAAGATGCCTTTAAATTGTTAGAATGTTTTTTCCAACCAAATATTAATTTTACAGTATATTACGTAAGGCAAACAAAAATGTTAAACCTTGATTTTTTTTTGAATCCGATTCCAGGGAGAGCTATTGACTTATTTAAAGCCCACCTCACCTAAATTGCCTATGGGGGAAATTCAGCGAAACGGAAAATTCCATAAAAATATTAATATACATAAAAATATTAATATAAATGTATACAAATGTTCTTATGGTGTACAAAATAAATTGTTTTTCTTTTGTTTTTTTTGTTATACATATTTTATTTATTTTCCACTTTTAATCCGTCAACATTTTCACCATAATATCAAAACCATCTCTTCACTCCTTCATTATTTTTCAATTTTTTAATATAATTTTGGTTCTTTGTTGCTTTTGTTTTTATTTTATTATAATAATATAGTGGCTGGAGTATTTAATGTATATATAGTATATAGCAATTAGACTTAAAAAAATGTATATATATATTTTAGTCCTAAGGCTGTATACGAAAGATTTTTCACTTGTTGTCAAATTTAAAGAGGGAAATTATATTTTAATTGCTATGTGTTTGTTTTTCCTTTTTTTCATTTTAGTTTTATTTTAATTTTGTATATCCTGTTTTAGGAAAATTTAATTACCTTTACTTGTTGCACTAACATACGCTGATGACCTCCGTTTTAATGGTGTTTCACTGGAACTATTACCTGCAGTCACATATTTTGATAAGGATAATAATGTTTTAAATAATTCTGTTATATTGTAATTATCCTTAGCGGAACATTCTAAAACTTTTGCCCTGAAATTAATACAGAAATAAAATAGTAGCATTTTAAATATGGTATTACAGTGTGGACAATAATTTAATATTAAAATTACATTGTATATCAGTTAATTGAAATTTATTGTAATGTAATTGACAGAAAATATTTATAATATAAAATTTAAAGTGTTAAATAAATAAAAAATATTTAATTTAATTTATTGAATATTTAAAATTATGTAGGAAATATGGTCATATTATTACTATGGTGTCATAAATATTAAACTTGCAGAATACTTTTTAAATTATGGAAAATTTATATTAAAATTACATTAAGTGATTATTTTAATTTAGTGTTTGGTAATTAAATGATATTAAAAAATATTTACCATGTTTTAAATTAAAATTCCCGTAGAGCGAACGTATACGTTAAAAGTTAAATAAATTTTTATAAACAACTCTTATATTAAATTAACAAACTGTTATATTTAATTAATTCAAATTACCTATATTAAAATATTGCATCAACTCCAATAACTTTTAAGAATAAAAATACAAACAAATTACAAATCGTTTCATTTTACCTGTTTTTAGACTTTTTCAAAAAACATTAAAAAACATTAAAAAACGTGTTTATAAGATTCACTCTGTCCGCCCGTCTTTCCGTCCTTACAGCAAAATTTTTGGGTCTATTTATTGCAACGAAAGTACAAACAGTTTTTAAATTCTACAAATACTGAAAAGCAGTGCTGAGCTTAAAGTTAACGATTATCTAAAATCCGTTTTTTTCAAATACTTGATACCGTTTTTCTTCTAAAACCTAAACGTTAGCCTGCCGAAGTTTGAAATTTTAACACTTTTTAGATACTAATAAAGAGTTTATTTTGTTTGAAGATTTTTTTCTACCTCGGTCATCTTTCTAGTTATCACCTTTTGAAATCTGTAAAATTTGAATTTTCGGCACCTTATTGCAAGATTTTCAAATTTCTTAAAATGCAAAACGCAAACGGGAAATTTTTCCTTAACTCACTTGCTTAACTAATCAATTCAACCATACCTCCATTTTTTTTTGACTCATCCTAAATGTATGCAAAACTTTTACATACAATTTGGTATATCAATGAAATTAAATAATTCAAACTAGTATGTTGTAGATTGCTTTTAGAAGCAGCATTTCACTTCAATTTGACCCAACTTTATTTATTTACAAGTAAGCTTAAATATTACAGACAAGGTATCGGACTACATATATACATTGGCAACCCTATTGAAGTTAAATAATTTTCTATATTATTTTACTATACTAAAATAAGTTTTTGTGTGATTGAGTTTTTTACATTCAGAAACACTGAAATCCCAAATCATTAATTAACCCCAACAAAATATCTATACGTATATCAATTTACTGTTTTCATTCTCCGAATATTGTATAAATACTGTTGTACGAAATATAATGATGTTGAAAGTGCGCACATGTATGATGATACAGGTAAGTTGTTATGGGAATAGTATAATTAAAACAATGCTAGCCAGCTACATATTTTCATTTTATCAAACGAAGAGCAAATTTAAGAAAAAAAAAATACATTATATGTGAAGTAAGAATTCAAAGAAAAAATCAGAAAAGTTCTCATTCTAGTATTGCAATAACAAAATTTACTTGGTTGTTGTGACCTTTAAATAAGCTTCACTGTAAGAATAATATTGGAATATTGGAAACATTTTCGAAGAATTTTTTTCATAATTTTGCTTAATATTGCAAATTAATTAGTATTAATTATTATACACTATTCAACATTTCATTTAAATCCAATCACATCTATGAAAATCGAATGTAAAAGCCTTTTAGCATTGAAATTGATCAATCCATTTTAATTTGGAAGGCACTTCTTTTATAAGATTGAACACATGCATATTGAGACAAATTTCATTGGTTTTCACGACAAAACCATATTAATAAAGTGTCACATTATTCATTTCAATCAAATTCTCTTAACTATTACAAATATGTTTCATTGTACATTATGTACATAATGTAAATATATGTACATAATGTACATATATTTAGCACATACTGTGCTAAAAAATGTAAATTTTTTTTCTGTTTCAGAAATACGGAACAATATTATTTATTATTTGTATACACACATATTGTCCATTCAGAAGGACAATGTGATAAGTCAAAAACCAATTTTTCAATAAAAGCGCTTAAAACATTACTTAATTAATACATTAAACCTTAATGTGCAAGAATAATGTCAGGGGCTATTAAATGTTAAAAAATTTTGCTTGAAATACTACCCAATTACAGTAACAAAATATGCAGCAGTAACAAATGAATGAAGTGCGTGAGATGGGTTTCATAAATTCTGAAAACATTGAACTTTGCAAAAATATCCCTCGCTTCTAGATATTAAAAAAATCAGATTTTAAACCACCATTAAACAGCGGCTAAATTTTGTTTAAAAAATTTACATTAAAAGTTTATGTTAAAAAGTTTACTAAGGATTGTGTTTACATTTACAAACGAATTTATAATTTTAATTGTCAAATTGTCCAATTTTTGTTTTGACGTTAGCATATACTTGTCTCTGCATATGCTTTTCTGCATTCAAAATTTTTTTTAAACAATATGGAATTTGTCGAAATTTTTGCATAAACAATACAGAAGGTATCTAAATATAATTATGTGTAATCAAGTGTTCTCATATCATCCATAATCTTTTTTCTAGCAATTATTTTCATTGGCATAACGAACAACAGTTTATGAAATAAAATTTTAATGCCATTGCACGGTATGGTATACCTTGTAGAAGCAAAATTTCTGCTAGAAGATAATGTTATAATTCCTTTCTTTCGCGAACAGAGATAATCCCCGATGATTTTTTCATGCGATGAATAAAATAATCATTTCCAAGTCAAAATTTTAGGCAAAATTTACGATATAAATATTGATGTATTTTGTTTGATCAAATTGTCATTTTCGTCTATCAAACGCGTTATTTACAGAACGCTTTTTCACTGCATACTTCATTTGATTTTATTTTGTTTACAGCATTCATTGGAAACGATTTGTTCTTAGTGCCTGACATTTAAGCGTTCATAATCGAAAACAGTTTCCGAATAAAAAATGTAACACAACCTTAGATGTTGCTCCAATAATTTTAATGCATATTCTACTAAATAACTCCAAAATACACATAAAATTAATATTCTCGAATTTCACATTATTTGTTTTTCCGTTTTTTGTAAAAGTGATTATAAAATTCATAAAAAATTATAGCCATGTTCAAAAGAAAATTCTTTACAATTTGTGGTATATTTGAGGGTGTAAGCTGAGGCTTTTGGTACAAATATTGATCCTCATTTATTTATTTATTTGTATTTTTCCATTTTTTTTTAAAAAAAACCAATTAAAAAAAAGTTAAATCACATTAAAGCCTTGACAAAAAATATAACATTTCATTATTGACCAACAAATAACGGAAATCCATTTATAATAGCCAGGTCCAATACATAAATTGCATAAAAAACAACAGTCACGAACGAATATCTTTTGTGTCCTTATTGTGACTTAATTTATTCATATACATGTTTTTAGTGCTATATCGGATTTTTACATTTTACACAATAACTGGTAAAAGCAAAAAAGAGTAAAACCCAAATGTGTTATCCTTCTTCATATAAATTTATAAATTTTTATAAGAATTGTATTGGAACAAATGTTGCTTTTTCTACAAAAACAATTTTTTTAACGAGTGTGGGGAAAATAAGTTTTTTGCAAATTATTATACATTTCAAAAAGCAAATTTCTTGCAAGTGCTTACTGCACTGGCTTCATACTGAATATATGTATATTTTTTGTAAGCTTGTGACATTTTTAAAGCGCAGTTGAAATTGTAGACTTGATGTTTTTTTAAAATTATGGAGTAGTGTTTATCAGTTCGGACTGGTGTAGTCAAAAATTTGTATACGAATTTTGGTTTTAAGAGCATAGGAAATACTTCACTTTTTGGTTTTAAACCACACTAGAAAGTTAGCATGGTCGTATCTCAATTCTAAGTAGGTACTTAGTAAAATTTCATCGCAAGAAAAGTGAGTACCATGCAATTTTTAATAAAAAATTGTAAAATATGTTGAATTTATTGAATTCTATAAAATGGGTTTTCTATTCTTGAAGTACGAGAGTGACAATTTTAAAACAAAATTTTTATGCTGCATTTAAACATAAGAATTATGAAGTTAAAAGCTTGGCCTGAAAAAAAGAACTTTGTTGCAAGCAGAGAGAATTTTGCTTGCAATATTGGCATAAAATCAACGGTCAGACAGAGTGAAAGTATAAGATATATTAAAGTTATTTTGTTTTTATTTTCCTGAAGCATGATTTTCATTGGTTTTATTTTCTGAAATGCAATACTTTTTTTGCGGTACAGCAATGCAATAATGGCACCCTAAATTAATGGATGCGCATATTATATATCCATGTACATATATGTCTGTTACATCTGTACCAGCTATGTGCAACTTTTGCGGGATTATGGATCACATCAAAGAGTAAAAGATAGCTATAGGAATATGAACTATGAAATACTTTATAATTTCAAAATAATGGTTCCAACAAAAATCGGAAAATGTTTCAGAAATATAGAGGTGTTCTATCTTGCTTTTGTGTTTTTTTTTCACATAAAGACTTTGAAAACAAATAAAATTATTCGAACAAATAAAAAAATATTTTAATCCTAAAGAATTTGGAAAATACAGGGGCCTAAATTCAATAATATTTCGAAAGGTTTTTGCAAGTTTACATATTTGAGCGAACCGTAGGTACCCCATGTCTGACACACTTTATGAAACGTGTAATGGAATTCGAAAATTTTTCACGCTATAAAATGAAAGCAAATTTGTATTCTGAAAATTGTAGGTCATCTAGGTTATCTGAAAATCAAAATACAAAAATAACAAACCACATTCAGTGCAGTTTTGCTGAATTGCTGTTAAGTTATCGTTTTGCTCATCTCTGGTCTATTAAAACAAAA